CATCGATCACATCGAGATGCAGCCCCATTTATATTCACCACCCAATTAAATTAAAATGTTGTTCTATACACTATTATATAGCACACACATAAGACATAACAAAGGGAAAAAAAACATTACCAGGTCTACTCGACTAATCAACACTTTCCTCTCTTTATATTAAAAATTAAAATAAAACCTTCGGTTATTCCTCACCTACCCTTTTCCCCATCAAAATCACCCTAAAACACAAGAAATGCCAACAAATAAAATAAAATAAAATAACCCATCCTTACATTTCCAACCCTACACAAAACACAGAGTACTGATCAGACCAATAAATCCTGGCGTATCTTCTCGTCGGGTTCCCGCTTTGCCTAGCGGCTGGACGACCCGGATTGAGGCTCCGGCGAGCGGCGGCGGGGGAACTCCGACAGCATCTGCACCACCTCCCGCATAGTCGGGCGCTCGACGCTGTTCTCTTGGACGCAGAGCATGGCCACGAAGAACAGGTGCATCGCCTCGTCCCTCGGCACGACCGCCAGCCTCGGGTCAAGCACGGCGGCGACCTGCTCCCGCCGCCCGTCCGTCGAGCACCTGGCCCACTGGACGATGTCCACGCCCTCCCCGAACTCGCCGCCCACGGTGCGGCGCCCGGCGACGAGCTCCAGGAGGACCACCCCGAAGCTGTACACGTCGCTTTTCTCGTCCACACGCAGCGTGTACGCGTATTCTGCAGTTTTTTTTAGTTTCTCAGTCAAATTAGTTTCTAATTTTGGGAAAAGAAAAATTATAAACCCTCAATCTTTTCCCCAAACTATATATATTTTGAGATGAATAACTACATAAAATACCTTAAAAGGACTGCGTCATATGGTCCAAATTTGGACCACTTACACTGAAATTTGAAGTAATCAATTATTTATGCAAAAACAAAAGGCAAATAATAGGAAAAAAAATCAGGAGATTTTAAATTTAGGACTTAGGAGAACCGTATAATAAATAAAAAAAGTAAAAAGTGAGAGAAGATAAAGTGTTGTTTACAGGTAGGATTTTGGGGATTGGAGTTTATTGGTATTAGTGGAGGGCATGCACGTCATTTCAGGTTTCCCGATAATCTACGCTGTTAAGTCAGGCTCATAAATCACTGCCACACACTACCACCACTGTGAGTCTGTGACTGTGAGTGCGATTACCCATAAAATTCTATCGCCCAACTTTCGCTGCTTTCCGCGCCAATTTTTGTCCCCACCAAATTACTTTTCCATTTTTACCCCTCGCCCCCTTTCCGCATCCCTTTTTAGTTTTTGTGTTTTATCTTGTGACTTTTGAATAGCTATAGCTCACGAGTCATGGCCATTTGTTTGAATGAATGTTCTTGTAATCATGTGCATATGATGGTATGACTTACGAAAACTGAGAAACAAAAAAAAATTGATCCGACTAAACTGTGAAATAAATTTGGGATTAATTTACTTATTATACTCAACATACTCCTCAACTTTTTTTTTTGAACAAGATGATATTATTCTTGAGATTCCAATCAACCAACCAAAAAATTAACTACCATAAGCAAAAACAAAATCCACAAGCACATAACCAAAATTGAAAACAGAGAACAAAATGCATTACTTTACCTGGAGCAATATATCCATAAGAACCCGCAATAGCTGACATGCACTGGGAGGCCCCACCGTCGACCAAGAACTTAGCCAGCCCGAAATCTGCCACATGGGCCTCGAACCCCTCGCTCAACAATATATTGTTCGACTTCACGTCCCTGTGCACTATCAGAGGCGAGCAGTCGTGGTGCAAGTAGCACAGCCCTCTAGCTGCATCCAATGCAATCTTGTACCTCAAGCCCCAGCTCAAAAACCCGCCTTTCTTCCCGTGCAGAGCCTCCCCCAAGCTCCCGTTCCTCATGTACTCGTACACTAGCAAGTTCGTGTCCCTGTTCGTGCAGAACGCGAGCAATCTCACTATATTCCTATGCCTTATGTTGCCCAATGTCCGAATCTCGGCCTTGAACCCGTGATCGTGCACGCTGTTCGCCCCATTCAGGCCCAGTAATTTTTTAACTGCAATCTCAACCCCATTCTGCATTTTGCCATGGTAAACAATCCCGGCCCCACCACGGCCGATCACGTTCCCGTCCTTGACGCACTCGAGGACGTCCGAGACCGAGAAGTCGAGCTTCTGGAACGCGGTCATCTTCCACGAGTGGGCCCCGCTTTTCTTGAACGACTTGGCCTTGGCTATGGCTGCAGTTGCGAACACCAACGAGCACAACAGCAGGCCGAGGGCGAAGACGAGCTTGAACGGGCCGTGGGACGGCCTCCCGGGCCCGCTTCCCCATCTCGTGAGGTTGCACGGGCTGTCGACCAAGGGCCCGCATAGTCGCGGGTTGCCCAGAAAAGAAGTCGCGTTGAAGACGGACAACTCGGGCAGTTTCCCGGAGAAGTCGTTGTACGAGAAGTCCGCTGTCGTGAGGCTCTTCATCAGAGCAATGGACTGCGGAATGGACTCGTTCAGGTGGTTTCTCGACAGGTTTAAGTAGTTTAAGATTCGGATGTTCGATATTTGCTGTGGGACGGGTCCGGAGAGGTTGTTCTGGCTGAGGTCGAGGTAGTTGAGGTGCGCGCACGCCCCGATTTCGTAGGGGATTTGACCGGTCAACGAGTTCCGGCTGAAATCGAGCGTCACTGCCTGGCGGAGCCCGCCGACCGAGGGAGGGACGGGACCCGAGAAGTTGTTCCCGCCTAGCAGAAGGATTTGGAGAGAAGTAAAATTCGATAAGGAGAAAGGCAATGGCCCGGATAGACGATTGTTGGATAAATTCATTTCGGCTAATTTAGTCCCATTCCACGAGCTCTTGTTGTTTTCGGATAAGGGCCCGGAAAGCATATTGTTATGCAGTTCGAGGAAATTAAGCTCCGGAAGGTAGATGAGGCCGGCCGGGATAGTACCGTTTAAGTAGTTCTGTCCCAACCTAACCCTAACCAGGCTCGTGCACGTGCCTAAATCCTCCGGTATCGAGCCGAAGAGGAAATTTTTCCGGAGGATTAGTATTTTAAGCCGGTTAGAAGCACACAGGTGGCGCGGGATTGTACCGGTGAGCTTGTTGGTCGACAAGTCGAGAATCTGGAGCTTCCCCTGTTCAAGCCCGAGACTGCCCGGGATCTCGCCCGTGAAGTTGTTCATCCACAGAGAAAGCGTGTTGAGCTCGCGAAAGCCCGCAAAAAAATCCGGGATGGGCCCGTGCAGCCTGTTGATGAACAGGTTGAGCAGCCCGATCCTCTGAAGCCCGACGAGCTCGCGCGGGATTTCTCCAGTCAGAGAATTCAAAGAGAGGTCGAGATTCACAAGGCCCGTCAAGTTGCCCAGCTCCCTCGGTATTGGCCCGGTCAGCCGGTTCACGTGCAGAAACAGAGTGTCGAGCATTTTCAAGCTCCCGAGCTCCGGAGGAATCGGGCCGTCCAGCTCGCAGTTCGATAAATCCAAGTGGACTAAATTCGCGAGCCTCCCGAGCTCGCTCGGTATCCCGCCTTGATAAACATTGTAGTAACCCAAATAAATCTCTCTCAGGCTAGTGAGATTGCCTAATTCTCTCGGGATTTTACCGTCTAGATCGTTTCCCGATAGGGAAAGGTACTCGAGGGCTGGTAAATCCCCGTAGCTCGACGGTATATGCCCGTAAAAATAGTTCCCTCCTAGCTCGAGGTGCCTGAGGCCCGTTGGGCCCGAAAGGCCGTTGGGTAACTGGGCCGAGAAGTTGTTGTTGTAGGCGTCGAGGGACTCTAAGCTCGGGAGGGTGTTGAAGTCCCAGTCGAGGCTGCCGTTGAGTTGGTTGTTTGAGATGTTGAGAAAACGGAGGGAGGTTAAGTTGTCGAGCTTTATGGGGCCCGTGAAGTTGTTGCCGTCGATGTAGAGCTCGACGAGTTCGTCTAGGGCCGAGATTTCGGGAGAGATTGTGCCGTAGAGGGAAAGGTTTGATAAGTCGAGGGTTGTCACGCGGGCGTGGAGGCATTTGACGCGGGCCCACGAGCAGACGGAGGTTGGGTCGGACGAGTTCCAAGTGTCGAGGGCCGGGCTCGGATAGCGGAAGCCTCGTTTGAGGGTGATTAGGGTGTGGAAGTCAGAGATTAGGGAGGAGGAAGTTGAGGTGGTTGCTAGTGAGGAGAAGAAGAGTGTGAGTGCTAGAAGTGTGAACAAGGGTAGAGCCATGTCTTTTTGCTTGGGTTCAAGGAGATTGGGATTTGAAGGGATTGAAGAAAATGGCAAGGGTGTTAAGAAGATGGTTGAGGATGGGTTTTTGGGGACAAGTGGTGAAAATTGGGGGAATCTTAGGAAGTTTGAGTTTGTATAGGCTTGAAGAATCAATCATCTTTGCATAGAAAGACAGTCTTCAATTTCAAGGAATAAGCTAAAACTTCCCCTTTTTTTTCTTTTTTCTCTCTTTATCTGCTCTCTTTTTCAATCTTTCATCTTTATGATGTTTTTGAAGTAAAGAGGAGATGGGTTTAAGATGAGGCTTTAGATAAAAATTTGTGTTTGCAGAAGTTTATACCAGGAAAAAGAGATACAAGGAAGAAGGGGAGGACACTATGAATAAAGAAGATGGAAAAACAGCCGTTGGATAACAGAAAAAGTTGAAGATTGTGCAACGAAAATAGAAAAAATAAAACTAAAGGCAAAAGTTGATGCTCCTCCTCCCTTTTCTTTTTTCCTTTCTTGCTTCCTTCTTTTTATGCATATTACAAAACTACCCCTTTCACCTTTAATCAAAGGGCATGTAGCAATATTTCACTTTTGAGTGAAAGAGATGATGGAAGAGCACTTTGAGCAACCAAGAATGGCTATCTGAGTTGGCTTTCACATTTCTTTTTTCATTCTTTTATTTTTCTTTTTTTCTTTTTCTTTTTATTATCATTATTATTTTTTTGGGGATCCCGGCCATGAAACTTTGAATTGATTTTGCTATGCCCTTTATGTTTCTCATAATTGATAAACATATGGATTCTTTTGTTTTTTTAATTTCTTTTCTATTGATATTTAAATTATTTTTGTCACTTCATATTACACGGATACTTTTGTAGTAACATTGACCCCATTGTTGATGGGGACAACATAAGACATGTGGAGTGGCATTGTTGTTTCCATTATATTTATGTATTATGTAATTTAGCGAAATTGCCTGAAAACAATCGTAATACCAAATCAGAAGCTTTTGGGACCATTTTTATTATGTGTTCTGGCCAAAAGCATTTGCAGGATTTTTGCATGGTTTACAGTTTGCACCCTTACTAGGAGCAACTTAATCGGAATTATTTATTTATTGAAAAATAAAAAAAATAAGTCGACAGAAAAAAATAAAAAGAGTGGACCAAAATAAAAAGAACGTATTCTATTAATACGTTTTTTTAAAGAAAAATGTTTTCGGATAATACAATTTATGTTAAGTAAATTAATTAACGTAATTAAGTTAATTAAAGTAAAAGTAAACGTATAACTCAAACACGTTTTAAAGTAAAAAAAACGTATTATTGAAATACGTTTTATAATTAAAATTAATTTTTCAATTATGTTTTAATTATAAAACGTATTTGTGAAATACGTTTTATAAATAAAATTAATTTTACAATTCGTAAAAATAATTTTTTTGCAGAAAATAAATTTTCAAAAAATAAAACGTAATTTGAAAATACGTTTTTCTTTAATTTTGCCCCAAATTGATTTTGCCATAATTTTTGCCCCAAATTAAAACGTATTCCTGGAATACGTTTTTAAAAATAAAAAATAAAACGTATTCCGAAAATACGTTTTACTGTGCAAAAACAACAACTATACATGAAAAATAAAAATAAAAAACACACCTGTTAATCAAGATCGATTCAACAACCAAATATTAATTCCACAAGCTCATATCAATGGGTCCATTATTCAAAGAAAGAAAAACTTTTCATCAACCACAATAATTTATTGAAAATACAAAGATGTCGAAATATTATTACACATAATCCACCAAAAAAAATAATATATATATATATATATATGTTCACAAAATTTCCCGAATACAACACAAACTAATTAGGAGTGTATCGATTCGTAGGATTCTGCTGTCGGTAGCTGATCCGACGTAGTGGTCGTTGCGACGAAGACGATGCTATGGGCGTGACAGGTTCTTCTTCTTCTTCTTCACCTGAGTAATTCATTTTTTTAAGAAATCAGAAATTCGACTTGACAAAAATCACAAAAAATAAATAAAATTATTTTTTTGTTAAGTTAAAAATTTTCACCTTCTTCTTCTTCCTGAGGCCCGGTGTCGGCAGCGGGTTGGCGGTCACGTCGTCTTCTACCTCCACCAATGTTGGCAGCAGGTTGATGCCTTGCCCGGTGTGACTGCATTCTCTGAGATCGGACGTAGCTCTCCTACGATAGAACTTGGCTCGACGACGTCCCTTGTGCGACCTCTCTGCCTCCGACAGTCAGAGAACTGTATAGAAGGCTCTTGGCCTGTTGGAATGCCGCCAACATATTTGGATGGAGTGTATGATATAGGTGGTCCACGTTAGATAACGTGTGATAAGCTCCCTCCATGGCGCTGGCCTGAAAATTAAATTCAAAGTAATTAGAATGAAACACAAAATAATAATAATAATAATAATAATAATAATAATAATAATAATAATAATAATAATAAGAGTATATAAAACACAAATATATATTACTTACATCGCACTTCCCCTGCTCGGCAAGTGGGTGAAAGCCTCTGTCCGGTTGGGCCACCGCGTACTTGGCAGGGTCACCGAGTAGTCTCGCAGTGATATTGTGAAACCAATTAAGGTAACCCGCCTCAGGCTCAATGAATTGCTCCATAGGGATGACTGGGACGACATTTTCGTCTCTATGTTCGACCCAAGCATTCCCAAGCTCTCCGTGAAAGGCGACCCAATCAAAAACTGCCCTCCCAGTCATTCCCTGGCCTCCGTGGTGTCTCTGATATTCTTTCTCAGTCGTAATGATAGGAGGTTCGGGGGAGGACTACCGACATCCGAACTGACGGAGGACCCTATCAGGCAGGTGGAGTTCACAGACGTTCCAGTTGAAAATCCACCCCCTATACATCCAGAGATGTGAACCTTGTGTACACTGGGCCGGGAGAGCATTCCCTTGCAGGTGCCACTGATAGGGCAACCAATTGAACTGAAAAAAAATATATAAAAAAATTAATTAGGAATTAAGTTATAAAAAAAATTAAAACAAACAGCAAATAAAAATAATAATAATAATCTTACATCCGTCTCTGTGAGCTCTGTCAATTGATCCCGGGTGGTGGTTGTTCTCTTGCCCAGGTGTGTCGTGCTCCTCCTTTCCACCCACCTTAAAAATCACAGTAAAAAAATAAAAAAAACACTTTGTAATCACAAAATTTGATAATGAAAATAATCTAAGTAAATATAAATAAATTTAATTACCTTCCACCTAAGGGACAACCAGCGACTCTCTCAAAATTCGTATCCCTCATTCTTGGGCGAATACGAGGGATACATTCATATGCCCAAACCTACGCATATCGACATATTCATTTGTTATTAGATATTAGTCTAAATTAAAATAAAAAAATGAATTTTGAAATAACAAGCAAATAAATTTACCTGAATCAATTGGACACAGTTCTTGATCCACTTTTTCCCGGACTTGGAGCTCGTGCAGAGCGCTCTATACACTCCGGCCAGGACCGCCGAACCCCAGCTGTACGTCTTGATCTCATCGATGTCGTGCAAAAGCTGCAACCAGTACAGGTTCACTCCATTGGTCCTCTGGTCGGGGAAGAAGAAGGAACCGATGCACCAGAGTATAAGGGCCCTCACCCTCTGTTCGTAGTCAAAGATATGCTCTCCATCGGTTAGCTCTCTGTTGCACTCCGCTTCCAACGCATAGGTCCTCAAATACTGGCCTGTAATGGCCCAAGTCTTGGGGTCTTGAACCGGTTTGTCGGCCTTCTGAAAGTAGTTTATATATATTAAAAATTAATGAATGGAGTAAACATAAATAAAATTTAAAAAAAAAATGAAATTGTAAGAGAAAATTTACCTGAACATAGGGCTCGAACCCAAGCTCATCATAACAAATTTCTTGCCAGGCAGCGTGATGGTGGCCTCCCCGAAGTCAAAGTAGAAGGTATGCGTCTCCGGTCGCCACCTTTCCACCAGACACGTGATGAGGCTGTTGTCGGTCATAAGTCTGCCCATTCGAAATAGCGGGCTAAAACCCGTCCTATCGATGACCTCTCAAACTCTGAGATGTTGGTGCTCCAACGCCTTCCAGAACTCAGTGTCGAAACGGCGGGGTTTAATGACGCCGTCACGACATCCTGGGATATCTTCGAATAGCGCACTCGCCCGGTGGCAGTACTGAAGATATAGAACGGACGGATCCCTTGGACCGGGATGTGCATTGTTGCGCTGCGGTTGTGAGGACGACGAAGATGCCATTTTCTGCAAAAAAACAAACTACAAAACCCTAATCAATTTCCAAATAACCCATCAATTTATCAAATAAAATAATCAAACAATCCATCAACATATCTCAATCACAACACATTATATATAATTCAAACAACATATTCAATTTAAGAAAAACCCTAATTCGAAAATGATTGGAAAATTGAAAAAATCGAAGCCTAATAGAAGAAACGTACCTAATAGACGGGGAGGAGGTCCGGCGATGATGGTTAGGCGAATGTTCGGCAAAATTTTCCGACCACGAAACTTCTTTCTCGCTCGCTCCCGCTCTGTCTCTCTTCTCTGTGTGTGTGTGTTCGGTTTCTGTTCGCGTGAAAGAAGAAGAAGCAGGTGTTTTTTTATATTTAACGTAAAACGGATTCTGATAATCCGTCTTACACTTAATTAATTGTAAAACGGACTCTCAGAATCTTTTTTACTTTTAATTAAATGTAAAACGTATTCTGAACCCGGGTGTGGGCGAGTCCGTTATCTCTGGGCATACCTCCTTACCATTAGGCCGCTAGGCTATCGCGTTTATTTTTGCGCAAATTTTATTTTTATCCTTCAATATCAAGATTTTTTATAATATATAGTATTTTTATTATATAGTATAGATACATATATATTATAATTTATATAAATATTAATATATGTATTATAGTATATATATATATTATAATAGTATATATATGTATATATTATAATGTGTTATGCTGT